GAACTTCATGATGTGGAGATCGGCTCAGGTAGTAGAAACCCCGTGCCCCTAAGACGCGTTTTCGGTAAGCAAACCCCTCACCATGGCCAAGACGAATCAAGAGCTCCAGAAGGCCTTGAAGCTCAAGGCGCAAGTCGAGGAGCAGAACAAGATTCAGGACTCCGTCGCAGAGGAGAAGAAGCGGTGCAACGAGAAGGACCTCGAGGAGTTGGGCCAGGAGAAGTTGACCAAGGGCAAGTTCGCCGGAAAGACGGTGGAGACAGTGGCGAAGGAGACGAAGTACGTCCTGTGGCTCATGGACCATCAGGCCGAGAATCCGAGCTTCATCCCTCTTCTGAGCTACGCGGCGCGGAAGGAGGGCTACCACTACAGCGTGACGACGGGATATCAGACTCCATCCGCGAAGAGTTCCGGAGACATGCAGAAGCAACCCGAGACATTGAGCGAATGGCAAGAAGTCTGGGCTCAGAGTCCGGATCGCGAGTTGCCCGGATCCGTGACGGCGATGATCGAGACCCTCCGCGAGGGCGTGAGGTACCTCAACGTGCAAGTGGGTCAGCTGGAACAGGCGAACCAGCAGCAGCAGGCCGCCCTCTACCAGGCCATGTCAGCGAGCATGGGACTTCAGGAGCAGATGGAAGCTCTGCGTCAGCGCCTCGAGCAGCTCGAGGCTCGCATGATCCCCGAGCTGAAGTAAATCGCTCAAGAAGTCGTACGCCGGTAGGTTTCCGTATGAGTGCTCAGGAAAACCTGATTTGGAGTGTTGATGAAGAACTTGAACAGATCCCTGGGGAAGACGTTGGTAACACCCTGACTTTCCAAAGCAGCGCCGAGTCTTCTGACCCCAGGGCTCTTAAACCAATGAGCATTCAGACCGGATGTTTTGACTGGCAGCGTCCTGATGCATCATGGGAGGAGATTCCTCCTCCAAGGCAGCTCGGTACTACTAGAAACATTCAGTCATACTTCTTGACGGCGTTAGAGGACCAGGCTGAAGTGTTTGAGATTGCCTTGGACATTCAACCTCGTGATGTGCACAAGGTGAAGGCGTATGGCAAACAACACTGGGTTTTGAATGAGAAACCTAAGAAGCGGGCTGAGGTTCAGTTCAGGGCTCTTGAGGAAGGTGACAAGCTTGATTTTATGAAGGCCATGCAAAGCGAACTTAGTTCCTACCTTGAACACGAAGCTGTGGAAATAGCCAGACGTCACAACGTGCCATCCGAGAGGATATTAGGCATGAGATGGGTCCTCACGTGGAAGGATGTGTGTGATGATGAGGGTCAGGTGATTAATCGCAAACCAAAAGCTAGGCTGATCATAAAAGGGTACCAGGACCCCGATTTATTGCTGCTGAAGCGTGATTCCCCTACCCTGAGCACCCAAAGCCGAAACATGATTCTGGCCTTGAGTGCCCAACGACGCTGGAAAACGTATGTTGGTGACATCAAAACTGCGTTTCTGAACGGAGACAAGACCGAGTTCTCACGCGAAATCTTCGCCGAACCTCCTGAAGAAGTTCGTCGTATGCTCAACATGAAGAGTCACGAAGTCTTCCGTATCTTGAAAGCTGTGTATGGGCTCCTTCACGCTCCTAGAGCTTGGGCGGATAAATTAGGGAAAGAACTGGCCAAGCAGGGATGGCAACAATCAAAGCTTGAACCTTGTGTGTGGAAACTTTTTCACGAAAACGAGCTTGTAGGGTTGATAGGCATCCACGTGGATGATTTGCTGTGCTGTGGAGCAGGACAGCATTTTCAGGACCGCATCGAGACCCTCCGGAGTAGCTTTCCATTCGGTTCATGGAAGGATTTGCAAGAGGAGAGCACCATGTTTTGTGGGTGTGAGCTTAAGCAAAACGACGATTCCTCGATTGAACTGAATCAAGAGCGCTACGCTGAGGGTTTGGTTGAAATTCCGATGACCCGAGAGCGACGCGACCAGGGTGAAGAAGCAGTTAGCGAAGGAGAGCGTAAGCTTTTGAGAGCTGCACTGGGAGCCCTATCGTGGCGGGCTACACAGTCTGCTCCCTGGTTGTGTGCTAGCGTGTCATACCTCCAAGGCTGCTTCAAGGATGCTACCGTTGATCATCTGCTGCAAGCGAACAAGCTTATCCGATTTCAGAGGGTTCTTAGCCAGGGTTCGATTCACTTCAGTTCGGATATTCAGAGACCGGTTCTTTTGACGTATCATGATGCGTCGTATGCCTGTAGAAAGGACGGTTCCTCACAAGGTGGTTTGTTGACCATGTTGGTTGATCAGGGTATCCTTGAAGGCGAAAGCAGCAGGTTCTCGCCCCTGGCTTGGCAGAGTAGGAAGCTACCTCGGATTTGTCGAAGCTCCACGGCTGCTGAGATTCAGACAGGTAGTCATGCAATCGATGCTCATGAATTCACCAAGCAGATTCTGATCGATTGGTTCAATCCCGAGCCAATTCCTATTCGGGATATGGATGAGGCATTGAGGCAGATACCTTCGGTTGTGGTCACGGACAGTAAGAACCTGTTTGATTCGGTGATGAGGGTTGAGACCAGTGGACTTCAGCTTGAAGAGAGGAGGTTGGCCTTAGAAGTGTTGTCCATCAGGGAAAGGATTCAGGCTATTGGGGTTAATTTCAGGTGGGTTGATGCAGATCAACAGCTGGCCGATGGACTCTCAAAGCCCTTCACATACAATGGTTTGCTTATGGCTCTGCAGAAAGATCATATCAGCATTCACTTTGATGAAAAGTTTGTGTCAGCTAAGAAAAAGCGAGCCTGGCAAAAGCAACGCAAGCATTGCTTGATGACAGTTTCCGAGACGACTCCCGGCAATTCGCGGACACATCAAGATAGAAGTTTCACCGGTGTTGAAATGTGCAGGACCAATTGCTGTGTCCGCTGATGTGCCGCGCATGTGCGCTTTCACTCCGCAAAGGCGGGCTCGAGGCCCGGTGTGAGCTTTCAGCATAGTGCGGGACAAAAGCCATTGCAGACCGATCTTTCGTGGGAGCTCATCCTTTAGCTCCTCATTGTACTTTATCGTTCTGCCTACAGATCATCATTATTTTCTGTGCTGGTCATTCCGACCACCAGTGCAGAAGGCAAGCTGCCAGTGCCGATTCTGCAGCCCTAGACCCTAAATTAGGGGTTTAGGGTTTAGGGTTTCCTAAACCCTAAACTCTATAACCCGAAATTAGGGTTTAGGGTTTAGGATTTCCTAAACCCTTAAACCCTAAACCCTAAGTCCCAAAAGCTTGGCAGGGACACAGAGCAGTGGCTGAGGGGACTGCTGCTGCCTGCGGCCTTGGCGGGCTGAGGCGTGTCTGAAGGGAGCCTATGGGTTTATGGCGTTCAGGGTGTAGGGGTGAGGGTTTAGGGTTTAGGGGTTTAGGATTTATGGGGTTTAGGGTTTACGGTTTTCGGGTTTATAGGGCTAGGGTTTAGGGGTTTAGGGCTTATAGGGTTTAGGGTTTGGGGTTTTAGGGTTTAGGGTCTACAGGGTTTAGGTTTTTTAGGGACTAGGGTTTATAGGGCTTAGGGTTTTTTTTTTGGGGGGGGGGAGGTAGGGTTTACAGGGTTTAGGGCGTTTAGGGGTTAGGGCTTATAGGGTTTAGGGTTTTGGGTGTAGGGTTTAGATGTTGCTGATTTTCCCATCATGGGGGTCTTCATTGAGCTGGAGGTTGGGGAATACATTATGCTACGGCTTGATTTTGGGCTTGTTAGGTTCCGGGCTTCGAAAGTGGGCAATGTGAGGTTTTATGTCCAGGGGGCAGTTCAAAGCCAAAGCTTCAAAACAAGACCTCAGTCAATGACAAACCTAAACCCCCGAACCCCAAAAACCTGAACCTTCGACCCGCGAAGCTCCACCCTAAACCCTAAACCCCAAACCCTTTAAACCCTAAACGTAGGCCCTAAACCCTAAACCCAAAGGCCTGCACCCCAAGCCCTAAAACCCTCAACCGCAACCCCCGAGGCCCCTGGCGACGCGGGGGCTGCTGGCAGACAGGCGCAGCCTGCTGATGCGATGTAAACCCCTGAGGAGGGCTTAGGGTTTAGGGGTTTAGGGTTTAGGGTTGAGGGGCCTGAATAAATTAGAATAGGGTTTTGGGCCCCTTTACAAAGTTCGAATATAATAAGGAACCTAACGAATAATACAGGTATTCATTTTCGGCTTCTCTATTAGGGCCTGTTTAGGGTCTAGGGCTTGCAGCGGACCCCAGAAAGTTGGAACCATATAGGTTCAGGGTTTGGGGGCCTCTGAGGCCCTAAACCCTAAACCCTACTGTAAACCCTAAACCCGAAACCCTAAACATAAACCCTAAACATAAACCCTAAACATAAACCCTAAACCCTAAACATGGGTTTAGAATGATGAATGCTAGGGCCCCTTATGCTTTCCCAGAGGCTCCATATATTTACTTCCCCAATAACCCAGGCAAATAAAAGGTTAAACTTTCAGGTTACTACTAATTTATAAGAGCCAAAAAAGTTTGAAGGTTGGGTATTGGGGAACTAAGCTAAGGATCCCAGGGTCAGGGGCCCATACTAGGGGCCCATGGCTTCAACCTTGGATTAATGAAGGACATGAGGCTTATGATGCTCCGACTTTATGGCTTCTACTACATGGGCAAGGGTTTAGGGATGAGGTTTAAAAGTCTATTTGGAGGGTCGGGGGACTTAGTAAGTAGTTCTTTTATAGACTTAGAAGTATCGTAACCCCAGTTGGAGTCCTTTTAATAGGTTACTTATAAGTCTACTTATTACCTACTTACTAAGTCCCCTGACCCTCCAAGTAGGGATTACGGGGGCCGAGGATGAGGGTCATGGATTACCTGTGGCCGGCGGCCCAGCAGACCTACCTTTTAAAGGAACTCTATATCTTTGAAAAGACCTACCTTTTTTCCCCAACAGCGAAGCGATGGGGTCTTCAGCCCTTGGGTTTTGGAGCGGGTGCTGGAGCGGGTTCCGGAGCGGGTTCCGTAGCGGGTTTCGGAGCGGGTTCCGGAGCGGGTTCCGGAGTGGGTTCCGGAGTGGGTTCCGGAGCGGGTTTCCGAGCGAGTTCCGGAGAGGGTTCCGGAGCGGGTTCCGAGGAGCGGGTTTCGGAGTTCTGCAGCGCGTTGAAACGGTTTCTGGAGCGGGTTCCGGAGAGGGTTCCGGAGCGGGTTCCGGAGCGGGTTTCGGAGCGGGTTCCGGAGCAGGTTCCGGAGTTCCGGAGACTGCAGCGCGTTGAAACGGTTTCTGGAGCGGGTTCCGGAGCGGGTTGCGGAGCGGGTTCCGGGGTTCCGGAGAGGGTTCCGGAACGGATTCCGTAGCGGGTTCCGGAGCGGAAGAGGGTTCCGGAGCGGGTTTCCGAGCGGGTTAGGGTTCCGGAGCGGGTTCCGGAACTGACGGACATGCTCGATGTCCTTTTCAAACATCAAATCCCCAAAACCGAAGCATTGTGTGCAAAGTATCGACATGACCTTGGATGGCCCGCTCGCTCAGACTGAAAGGATTCTGACAGACCTCGCCAGTTTCGTAACATGTATTTGCGATTAGCTGTTGGGGCTTCAGTGGGCTTATTTTTTTCAGGGGGTTACTGAAGAGCCTAGATCATGAACCGTGGCCGTGTAAGCATTGAAGCATGTCGGAACGGGGGGAAAGTGGTGTGAGTTTCGGCTCAGGGTCGGCCCTGAATCCCTAAGGGGCTGAGTAGGTAACCTTTAACCCTTTTGGG